GGCCACACCATGATACAGCACAGAGAGGCGATGGCAGCGATGGCAACACCTCCGGTGACCAACACCATCACCCAGTGGTAGAAGCTGATGCAGGCATGGCAGCAGAGCTCAGTCCTGCAGGGAGAGGGCAGGGACGTGGCTTGGTGGCCAGGGGTGGAGCCTGGCCCAGTGCTGCGCCAGTGCCCTGGGGCTGCTGCCAGTGGGCCCACATACTGCTGACAGTGGTCCCACATCCTTGGTGTCAGGACTGGTTCACACTGGGACATGAGGGAAAGGTCCAGGGCAAGGAGACAGGGGCAGCACCCTGGACATCGAGATCCCCAGCCCCTTCGTGCATCCCAGAGATGCAGCCCTCTTCTAAGGCCAGAAGAGAAGTCAAGGAAGGATTTAAGACAGATCGGAGCTGGTTTTCACCCGTGTCTCTTGCTCCAAATGAGGCATATTTGCTGCCTAGCCCGAGGCAATGTGGTGGGAGCTGCCATTGGGAGGGTTCCCGCACCACAGGGACGCTTACGGGCATGGGTGCAGGTTCTGGATCGCCATCACAGCCAGGCCGTTGGCCATCTTGTCCGTGAAGCTCATGGCGCCGTAAACGAACGCGCCGCTGTGCTGCGAGGGGAGAGGAAACCTCATCGGCTGCTGTGCCGAGGCCAGCCCTGCCACGCGGCCCAGCGGGCGCCAGCAGCGAGAGCCTTGTGCCCTCTCATGGGCAGAGCCCATATTACAGCAGAGCCCTGGCACAGGGGACGGGGCTGCCCGCACCCCCACAGCAGAGCCCCCTCGCAGGGGGCTCCGTGTCCCCCCGATCCCGTGCCAGGGACCGCCCCAGCCCGCGGGCTCCGAGCCCCGCTATGACACCCCGGTCCATCCAGGCCGGGAGGAGCAGACGTACCGTGTTGGTGCCGATGAGGTCTGCTGTCATGGAGAGGGAGGTGACCAGGATAGTGGCGGAGCCAGCCCCAAGCAGCACGGCCGCCCCATATATCTCTGCTCCCATCTGCCTGGCCAGAGTCACCCAGGAGGCAAAGGCCAAGATCACCAGGATGCCCATGAAGTAGGTCAGCTGCTCTGGGCCAGCGTGGGGACAAGCAGCGGGAGAAGGGCAAGAGAGCTCAGACCCTGTCTCGGCTGACACCTGGCAAGGCGGGGGTGAGTGGGGAGGGCACGGGGGCCAGCTGCTGCCTCGGACCCACGGGGGACAGCCGTAGCTCACTCCCAGCTGGTTTTAAACAAAGAGCCCCCAAGCAGCAAGGGCCTTACAGTGGTCCAGGCTGTTTTACAGCGGTGGCTGCAGCCTAAGAGCCAAGCCCCCAGCAGAGCCGTAGGCAGGGTGCCTGCACGGGGACACCCAACCGGCAGGAGAGGTGGAGGCTTACTGGGGACCGGTGCTTGCTGCAGTGTGGAGAGGGATGCACTGGAGGGACAGCCCCCTCCTGCTGGCACTGCAGACCCCCACGCCCCATGCCTGCCCAGGCTGGCTCAGCCAAACCCTCCCTCTGCCTCTCACGGGCACCATGGGGCTCTCCCAGCCCAGTCAGGGCTGCACAAGATGGGCTGACTCTGGACCAGCATCACTTTCCCCAACCTCAGAGATGTGCAGGATAGGCCCATGCCCCCTCACACTGCCCACCACCTGCACTGTCCCAGCGGGACCCATGCTGCAGCAGGCGGTCATCTGCAGAGGATGCACGAGGGGTCCCTGCTCGCCAGCCAGGCTCAGGTCTGCTCTGTTCCCTTGTGCAGTCAGGATCTGGCCCCTGGGCCTCTCCTTGGGTCTAACTCAATCCTCACCAGGCCCCCAGGACTCACATTTCGACCTATCCACTTATTCACAGGCTTCATGAGGAAGGAGGAGAGGAAGCCACTGATGTACATCACCAGGGGGATGGTGGCGATGTATTTCTGCAAGAGACGAGGACAGGGAGATGAGCTCCGGATCATCGGCACAGGACCCCTGCCCACACAACCTCGACACGTGGGCAGGGACCTGCCCTGCGCCCACCTTGGGCAGCAGCAGCGAGTTGGTCAGGTACATGGCGATGTAGGTCTGGGACAGGTTGACGATGAGCCGGGTGGACATGTAGAGCACTGCTACCTGTGAGGGGACAGACAGGGCAGCACCGCTCAGCCCACGCTGAGGTAGGGAAGGTAGGCTGGCACCTTCCATGCCCGACCCTGTCATGGCACAGATGCCCACTGGGAAGGGGAGAGCCCCCCTGACATGGCAGGCGGGTGCCCAGCACAGCCCAACTCTCCATCCTCACCCACACCAGTGGCACGTCCCGCTGCCAGAGGATGCCCACAGCACCCAGGCAGGGCAGCAGCCTGGGACAGGCGCCACGAGCCCTGCCTGCAGCCGTACCTGGTAGAAGGCAGGCTCCAGCAGCCAGTCCTTCCAGATCAGCAGTGGGCGCGGGGGGCTCACAGGCTCCTTCTGCAGCAGGCGCGTGCTCTCTTCCAGCTGGGGCAGTGAGCCCGGCGGGTACGGCTTCTCTTTGGTGCCCACATGGAAGATGAGGGAGAACACGGCCCCCAGCCCCACCACAATGAGGGACAGGTTCTGGGTGAGGCAGAGGGGGTGAGCATAGCAGGAGGTGCCCTTTCCCTGCCCATCGTCCACCCCCCAGCAGTCTGGTAGATAGAGGGGTTCCCAAAAACCCAGGAAGAGCTCCATGTGGCCCCTGCCCAGTGCGGTAGGTGAGATTTCAGGGCACTGCTAGTACGCTCCCTCCAGTACCTCCCCCGTTGAGCCACGTCCCACCCAGGGAAGACAGGACCCCAGGGACTGAGCACTGCCACTTACCCGAAATATAGGGACATCCTGGATGCCTAGGTGCTCTGTGTGGTCAGGCTGGTCCACCTGGAAGTTCAGCAGAAGCCAGGCCAGGCCGTACACAGTGATATTGGCCATGACAGTAAAGGCATACCTGGGGGGGAGACAGCACCTCAGGGTGATGCAGAGGGATAGGCACAGCTCCAGGCACGGCAGGGACACCTCGACCCAAGGCTGCCCTCCAAGGCAGGCGTGCTACAGCCAGCTTTGCGTCCCAGTGTCATTGCTGAGGTGACACTTCCAAGAGCACACAGCATCTGGCCAGGCATTAGCCTTACTGGTGCACCTCCCAGCATGCCCAGTCGAAGCCTCTGAGCACGACTGGGAGGAAAGCAAGATCCCCCCGTCCCAGCCTGTCCACCCTCCAGTCACAGCTCAGCTCTGCCCCAAGGATGCCCTGAGCTGCCTGACCCAGTGCTCCAGAGCTGGCCCCCTTGGCCCCAGGGTTACCCCAGCACTGCCCCACAACCTCCCTGCACGGCTGCGCTGCGGTCCCTGTACACCTGTACTTCCTCCCACCCGGGCAGATAACCAAACCCTGCTCCATCCCAGCCTGTCCACCCTCCAGTCACAGCTCAGCTCTGCCCCAAGGATGCCCTGAGCTGCCTGACCCAGTGCTCCAGAGCTGGCCCCCTTGGCCCCAGGGTTACCCCAGCACTGCCCCACAACCTCCCTGCACGGCTGCGCTGCGGTCCCTGTACACCTGTACTTCCTCCCACCCGGGCAGATAACCAAACCCTGCTCCATCTGATAAACACTCCTTCCTGCAGCCTGATCCTGCCAGATAAGCGGCACCGAGCCCGGCTCCACGCACGGAACTGCGCACGCTGCCCAGCCTGGCCCTGGGGCCACCCCAACCTGTGGGACAGCCCGCACAGAGCCGTGCGTGGGACAGCCCGCACAGAGCCGTGCCCAGCTCTCCCTGGGGGCTTCCAGGGGGTGTCTATTCCTCCCCTGTGAGCATCACCCTCCAGTCCCGAAGGAGAAGGGCCCCCAGCTCAGGGAAGTGCCCCACAGGCTGCGTCACCAACATTCCTGGCATCAGGACATTCTCTCCTGCCACCAAAGGGTTTGGGCCACCAACCCAGAAGACCAGTGTCACTTGGACACATCCTGCAGGAGACATGCACAGCCCAGTCCCAGTCCTGCTGTACCGAGGGCTCAAGTGTGCCACGGCACACAGGGGACATCAGACCCGTGGCACCCAGGGGACCTCTCGTCACACGAGTGATGGGACCCAGCGCAGGCAGGGCTGCTCCCCCGGGTTCGGGGGACACCTAGGCCTGGCTGCGCTCACCTGAAAGCTGTGAGCTCCACCTTCTCATGGTCATTGGTCACCAGCTCGGGGATGAGGGAGAGGTGGGAGATCTGTGTGGCTGCCCAGCCGAATTGGAAGATGATGATGAAGGGGAGGTAGTAGATGAAGGCTGCCCACTGTGGTGTGTTCTCCTTGCAACCCAGGCAGGGGTTGAAGATGAAGGGGAAGGACACGAGGACGCAGGTGGTACCTGGGAAGAGAGTGGAGCGGTGAGAGGCTGCAAGCCCTGTTTCCCTGGAACCCCTACAGCCCCAGCTGGCTCAGACACAGACGGACAGACACAGCCAGCCGTCTGCTAGGACAGGTCCTACCCCCCAGGGCCGGGGAGGGAGGTGGGCCCCTTCCCCCAGCCAGGTGAGACACATGGAGCCCCAGACCTCTCCTCACCCTGTCCTGCACACGCTGATGTCCTTCCCTCTCGCACCCAGCGGTGAGGCAGACAGACAGACACTTGTCAGCAGACTTCTCCCCAGTCAAGTTCCCCCCGCAAAGTGCAGTGCTATCTCGCACCTGCTCTGTCCCACTCAAAACGCCGAGGACAGACCCTCATGCCATCACAGCACGCAGCCACCAAGGGCTTCTCTCCCCACCTCCAGCCTGCAGATAACCGGCTCCAAGGGAGACGCGCCGCCCTGCTACCTGCCCGAGGGCGATAAGGCACCCTGAGGGCCAGGAGGGCTCCAGGCTGTCCTGCGGGCGCAGGGCCAGCTCGTCCGTCTTCTTGTCCCTTCTCCCATGGGGCTGGCAGAGGGAGCCACGCTTCCCCCACGCTTGCAGAAGTCACCCGCAGAGCGATGGCCAGGGACACCTCCAGCGCAACGGGGTGGGGACAGGAGCAGATCTGCGCCCCACGCCAGGCTCCGAGCCATGGGAAGGTCCCAGCTGAGTCAGGGACAGCAGAGCCAGGCTCCTCCCTCTGCTGCAGCGTGACGGCGTGGGGACGCCTGCGTGGAGCAGGCAGGGACAGGCTGGCTTCTCCCTTCCCTTTCACAGGGTTACTCCGCTGGCTGCTCCGGAGGCCAAGGCGCCGACGCGGAGACGGCTGCATCCCCTGAGCTGCGTGTCCCCAGCTTCGCTGGGTGCTGCCGAAGAGCCATGGGAACCTGTTCCTATAGCTAAGGGGAATCTGCAGCTGCTTTGCCACCTCCCCAAGGTCCCCTCTCCAGGGAACTTTGCAAGGTCCTCTTCCTCATGAGAAATCCCTCCTCACTCTCACATTGCACAGCCACCCAGCTGCCGCAGGGCCGGGGCAAAGCTGTTCTCCCTGTGCTGAGGGCAGGCAGTGACAATCCCAGCCCGGCTCCAATCCACCCTGGGCAAGGACCCCGGGAGGGTGCTGGGTGCTGCCCTGCACCAGCTCGCAGACAGCTCTGGGGCTCCAGGAGCTCCCTGAAGGACAGGGAACTTGGGCATACTGCGGTGTCTCTGTCCCAGACAAGCCACGGGGATGGGAAGGGTCCAAGAAGGTTCAAACCAGACCAGACCTCCTTTGTTCCCTTGTTACAGGGCTGTCGGTTTTAACCAAGCCCCATCTGGAGGAGCGAGGAGCCTCTGCCCCCTCCCCAGTCCCAGGCCCCGCAGGGTCGGGCTCTGCAGCCCCCTAAGGGCTGCGAGGGACTTGCCCACGTCCCCTGGGGAGCGCCGGGGCAGGAGCTGCGGGCCCCAGGCTGCTGCAGCCTCCGTGTCTGCCCCTG